TATTTATTTATTTATTTATTTATTTATTTATTTATGAGGGGGTGGGGCAAGGGGCAGAGAGAGAGGGAGAGAGAGAATCCCAAGCAGGCTCTGTGCTGTTAGCGCACAGCCGGGACTCAGGGCTCGATCCTGCCAACTGTGAGATCATGACCTGAGCTGAAATCAAGTCAGACGTTCAACCCACTGAGCCACCCAGGTGCCCCTTGAATGTCCTCCTTGTAAAAGACAAGGAATTAATGATATATTTAACATCTAAGCAAAGACTAGGTGAGAATGACCAGAGGAAGCCATTGTAGAGGCTGCTTTTAGGCAAACGGGCTTGAGTCATGGGGTGTGGAAAGGGCCCACAGTGATTCCCTGGCTGAATAGAGACAGGCCCACTGGGTGACCCAAAATATCCATAGGCCCTAACTGACCAATGGGTTACTTACAACCAGGCACAGTTACCAAAAAAGGGAAAATTCCATATATCGCCATAACTCCTCACCTTCCCTGCTTTAAAAACAGCCCCCACCCACTGCCTCATGGCAGACATGACCTGCCTGCTGCTCCCTTGCGGTGTGTTCCATAAACTTCTATTGCCTTTGTTCTGCCTCAGGTGAATTCTTTCACCACCTGCACCATTGGCTTCCACCTGATCTTTGCCCCACATTTGGAGGCCCCCATCTGACCAGATAGATACCTCATTTAGACACCACAGCCATCCTATGCACATTCTGGACCATGGCACTAGACATCTTAATGCCAAGGCCCCTTTGTTCCAAGGAATAACACCTGGGTCCTTGTCTTTGCTCTAACCAGTTCCTGGATACCTGAGGGGACACGTGCACCAGATCCCTGTCCTCAGTAAAAATCCCAGACCCCAAACAAAGACGAGACTCCCTCCTTTTCTTTCTGAGTAGCCCGGACACTATCTATATCTGCACTCTCTCTACACCTTCTATAAACTCTGCTCTCACTTCCTGCTGGCTCACGCTCGATTTCCATCCTACACGCAGCCAGGTCCTGTGGGACTCCCTCTGGGTCCCCAGACCCAGCCCGTGGGCATCAGGTTTAACTCAAGTGACTCCATTTGGGGCCTGTTGCTTCTTTTTAACAATTTAAATACTGAAAATTTTAAGCACATGTGAAGGAAAATAAATGCATGTTAAAACTATACAGAGTTTCCTCTTCTGGCCATGATGTAGTTAGTAAGAGTGGACTTACCGAATTCATGTAAAAAACTATAAAATTAGAGAGAACAGGAGCACCTACCTGGGTGGCTCAGTTGGTTGAGCGTCCAACTTTGGCTCAGGTCATAGTCTGATGGTTCATGAGTTCAAGCCCCATGTTGGGCTCTGTGCTGACTGCATGAAGCCTGCTTGGGATTCTCTGTCCCCCTCTCTTTCCACCCCTCCCCCACTCATGCACGCTCTCTCTCTCTCTCTCTCTCAAAAATAAATAAACATTAAAAAAAAAACTAGACAACATATGAAAAATGTTTTCAGACTGGAGACAACAGACAGTACAGACCTGTGATCCCTGAGAAAAAGGCACCTTTTATGACAGTGCAGGGGAGGAAGAGTCCATACAGACCATAGCAGGTTCTCTAAGATGAGGAGACAGACATTTGAGTTCAAGGAGGCAGAGGCAGCTGGGTTTGGGTGGCAGAATCCTAGGAAGCCAGAAGCTACACAGAGAAAATCTCTAGAAATTTCCATAAAGCATCCTCTTGAGTCTGTTCCTAATAGAATCAATGCCAGGCAAAGAACGAACAGGAAACAGTAAGCTGAATAGTTCTCAGCGTTCACACAGAGCTGGGAGATGTTCACGTTGAAATCTGAGGACTCTGACCTGAGGCATTCAGCAGAACTCCTAGAAGTACAATAACTAGCCTTAGGGGACATCAAGATTTGCTCAAACTTTCAGGCCAAAGTCACACTCTTTTGGGGGTGACTCATCTTTACAAAGCTTCAAAACAAACCTTGAAAGAGTCAAGCTGATCAGAAAATAATTTGAACTGTCTTAAAGGAAAAAAAATATTTTTATTCTTGTAAAATATATATAACATTTAAATTTTTAATCACTTTTAAAAATAAAAATTTTTTTCCCATTTTAAAATTTATTTTATATATATAGAGAGAGTGAGAGCAGGGGAGAAGGGCAGAGGGAGAGAGAGAATCCCAAGCAGGCTCCACGTTCAGCACAGAGCCTGATGCAGGGCTCGATCCCACGGTCCTGGGATCATGACCTGAGCTGAAATCAAGAGTCGGGCACTCAACTGACTCAGCCACTCAGGTGCCCCTAGCTTTTTAATCATTTTTAAGTGGCATTAAGTACATTCACATTGTCTGCAACTATCACCACTGGCCTTCTTCCCAAGCTGAAACTCTGTCCCCATTAAACATCAACTCTCCATTTCCCCCTCCCCTCAGCCCTTCTACTATCTGTCTCTATGAGTTTGACTACGTACTTCACAAAAGTGGAATCATACAATGTTTGTCCTTGCGTGTCAGGCCTTTTTAACTTAGCATAATGTCCACAAGGTTTTCCCATGTTGTAGCATTTGTCAACATTTTCTTCCTATTTAAGGCTGAAAAATATTCTATTGTATGGATACACCACAATTTGCTTATCCACTCCTCTGCCCAGGAAACTTGGCTTGCTTTTGCCTTTTGGCTGTTGTGAATAAGGCTATTATGAACATGGGTGTACAAATATCTGTTTGAACCACTGATTTAATTTCTTTGGGGTATTTACAGAAGACGGATTTCTGGATCATATGGTTCCAATGGTTTTAAAGGAAAACAACAGGGGTGCTGGGTGGCTCAGTCAGTTAGACATCCAACTTCGTCTCAGGTCATGATATCATGGTTCGTGGGTTCAAGCCCCACATCGGGCTCTGTGCTGACAGCTCAGAGCCTGGAGCCTGCTTTGGATTCTGTGTCTCCCTCTCTCTCTGCCCTGCCCTGGCTCATGCTCTGTCTCTCCCTCTCTCTCTCAAAAAATAAATAAACATTTTTTTTAAAAAGGAAAACAACAAACTCTGACACTCAATGTAAAATTTATAATGTCTAGCATCCGATAAAAAATTAATAGGTATGTAAAGAAGCAGGAAAATGTAATCCAAAACCAGGAAAATAATCAGTCAATAGAAACAGATCCAGAAATGACAGACATTATGGGTTGGGAGACAAGGACTTTAAAATAATTATGAATATGCTCAAAGACTTAAAAGAACATAAATGCAATAACAGAAAAATACAAGGTAATAAAAAGAAAAAGAGAACTTCTAGAGATAAAAACGACAATATGTGCAAGGATCAGTGAGCTTAAAGAGTAGCAATAGAAACTACTGCTTGTAAGACCTACAGTTAGTAATCTCGTCACTGAAGTAGTCTCTGTCTCAAGCACTGGGACATTGAAAATTCTTCTGTTCCTTTCCCAGTATTTTAGTACAGTTCTTTGGCCTCCTGATCCATGTAGCTTCAGCTGTCAGTAAATATCCTGAGAGGGGAAACTACTCCTGAATTTGAGTCTTCCAAGTCTCCAATGTCCTTCCTTTAGCACAGCATAATTTTTCAAAAGCTCAACTGGTTTTTCCTGTATGAGATCAGCTGCCCTTTGCCTGGACCAAGCCTTAAATACTTTGAATAATGTTTTAATGTATAATATTTGAAATAAACAGTGCCTGGCACATTATAAGCCCTCAACGAATATTAACTGAATGAATGAATTTCATTGTATTTCCTGATTCTCTTGTCTCTTGGAAGTTCAAACTGCTACAACACTGAGTCAATGAATATGTGTTCATCTAAAGATGTTTAGAATACTGAAGGTTTCTCTCCCTAATGCTTTAGGAACATTTACTGTGGCCAGGCATTGTTATAAGCACCTTACATATATTAACTCATTCAATACAGTAGAGAACAAGCAGAAAGTGGCCCCGCTTTATCTGTATTCCCCCCTTACCTGTGGAGGGATATGTTCTAAGACCCTCAGGTGATGCCTGAAAGGTGTGGATGGTACCAAACCTTATATATACTGTGTTTTTTCCTATACATACATATCTATGATAAAGTTTCACTTGTAAATTAGGTATGGTAAGAGATTAACAACAACAATAAAATAGGACAAATAGAATAAGTAATAAGAGTCATGTGAATGTGGTCTCTCTAAAACTATCTCATTGTACTGTACTCACCCTTCTTGTGATGATGTGAGATGATAAAATGCTTCTATGATGAGATAAAGTGAGGGGTATGATGTAGGCATTGTGAGGTAGCGTTAGGCTACTATCTACCTTCTCAGGATATGTCAGAAGGATCGTCTGCTTCTGGACCATGATTGACTCAGGGAGCTGAAAATGAGGAGAACAAAACAGAGGATAAGGGGGTACTACTACTCAGAACAACCCTATAAAATTCATGGTACTAATCTCTTCATTTTACATGCATGGAAAGTAACATACAGAGGAGTTATCTAATTTGTCCCTGGTCAAACAACTCGTATGATACTGGTAAAACAAACACCCTGTCCCTCTCTCTCTCTCCCCCCTCTCTCTAATGTTTTGGCCCATGAAAATCAAGACTTAAAGGCAGGATTTCACACAGTACCTCAAAGAGTGTTTTTAACTGTTAATTTCTTTTTCTTTACTAAACATAGAATCCTATCAAAGATTAGTCCTACTATCAATTACAACTAATTGCCACTGTTAACTAGTCCTATGTTGCTTTGTTTAAATAGCATTCATGTAACAGAAAAGTAAATTCTGAATAACATAATTTCAGATAAATACCTATCTTCATATTTTTATGTTACAGCAATAACACAGATATGCATAATAATTCATTATATTCAACATACTATGTTATTCGTCTGGTAGGACTGTGTCTAGGGTGGCTCTCTGAAAAGGTGGTCACTCTAGTGGCACCTGGGTGGCTCAGACGGTTGCGCAACCGACTTTGTCTCAGGTCATGATCTCACGGTCTGTGGGTTCAAGCCCTGTGTTGGGCTCTGTGCTGACAGCTCGGAGCCAGCTTTGGATTCTGTGTTTCCCTCTTTCTCTGTTCCTCCCCTGCTCGCGCTCTGCCAAAAATAAATATTTTTTAAAAAACAAATTAGGGGCGCCTGGGTGGCACAGTCGGTTAAGCGTCCGACTTCAGCCAGGTCACGATCTCGCGGTCCGTGAGTTCGAGCCCCGCGTCAGGCTCTGGGCCGATGGCTCAGAGCCTGGAGCCTGTTTCCGATTCTGTGTCTCCCTCTCTCTCTGCCCCTCCCCCGTTCATGCTCTGTCTCTCTCTGTCCCAAAAATAAATAAACGTTGAAAAAACAAAAAATTAAAAAAAAAAAAAAACAAATTAAAAGGTGGTCACTCTACATTACACTCACAAGGGGAGCTTTTTAAAAATACACAATTTGAGGGCGCCCCAAAGGCTCAGTTAAGCCTGGGACTCTTGATTTCAGCTCGGGTCACGGTCTCACAGTTTATGGAGCCTGGCATCTGGCTCTGCACTGACAGCATTAAGCCTGCTTGGGATTCTCTCTCCTTCTCTCTCTGCCCTTCCCCCCCTCAAAATAAATGTATAAAACATTTTTTAAAAACCCACGCAATTGCACAAGGGCCCATCTTAACGCATTCTGGTTCAACTGGTGTGGGAGGGGAAGGTCTCGCCGTTAGAGTTTTCAAAGCCTCATGGTGATTCTTGTTAGAGATTCCGAACTGCTTGGCTGGGCGGGAACCGGCCGGGCGGGGCCTGAAAGTCACGTGCCCCAACCGGGACCCTCTGCGGCAGTTGATTGGCCTCGACCAGGGGTGCGTGAGACGGAGGCCCCTTCTCTATTAAACGGACCAGAGAGTTGCGAAGCCTCCGAGCTTCCTAGAAGGTACGCTGGCCGAGAAGCTGGGCTCCCCGCGCAGGAATAAGGGTCGGCGAGTGGCGCGGACTTCTTCCGCATTCGCGCCCTCAGGTAGGGGGTTAGCGGAGGGGCGGCGACCTGTCACGGGTCTTGACCCGAACCTGGAGAGGGAAGCCCAGCCATGGGGGCCGCCGCAGGTGGACACTGAGGTCTTCCCGGAGGAGATGGCACCGCGGAGGGTCGGAAGCAGGTCTAGGAAGAGAGGAGCTCGTGTGATGGGACGGGTGGGTGCGGCGGCAGAGCCACGGTGTCCCCGCAACGGAAGGTGACAGGGCTCGAGAGACAGTCCTCACCCCCCGCCTTCGGGGCAGGTCGCAGGGACTTAAGGGAGCGTCTTCCTGAAGATGTCAACTTGTGAATATTTTCCGTGGCGTCGGGTCTTCAACATTAAGGAGGAACAAGTCCGATGAATGAACGGCTGGTTAATAGTGTGGTTCGGTTCGGTTTGGTTTGGTTAGGTTATAGACGAAAAGGAGATGTGATCGAACGTTTCCAGAGTTCACATTGTTGCGAAGTGGCGTTTTAGATTCTGACTTCCAATGCACGGTAGACGGGATAGTTAGGTAATGAGAGGGTTGAGGTCCCTTCCCCAGTCTTGAAGCCATCGATCAGGACGTTTCTTTGGAGAGCCTCCATGCTTAAAAGGCAGAGCAGAGGATCTTCCAAGCAGTGTTTTTAGGGTACGTGAATGGTGCGAGGGATGTTCTTAAAAACGCATTTAGAGAAAGCAGCGTTCACCAGTGGCCAGAGAAGCACAAAAAAAAAAAAAAAAAAAAAAAAAAAAAAAAAAAAAAAAAAAAAAAAAAAAAACAATGAAAAAAATCACCTGGATCCCAGTAACTATTGTTACTACTGTAACAATTGTGGAGGGCCACAATTTGGATGTACCCTAGGCCGACCACCCATGGCTGTGGAATCAAAACTTGAACTGCCCTAATTTCTCCAAAGTGCAGACTCTCCTGCAGAACTTAAGCTTTCTTCATGTCAGGGTGACTTGTAGCTTCCTAGCGCGTCAGTTGCAGACCAGTCAACTTGTACAGTGTTTCTATTCTAAAATAGGGTTGTAAGTTTCTAGTAAACGATAGAAAACAAAGCTACTTCCTCATCTCCTGTGTAGGGGGCAGAAAAATAACTGTCTTTCTCAGTTCTTAGCTGAGACTCCTGCAATAAAAGATTAAGAAACAGACAAGTCTATTTACATGTATATTTCATGTATGTGTGGGAAATACCCACGGAAAAATGAGTAACTCCTGGGGTGGCTTAGAATTCAGGCCTAAATACCATCTTTTTTTTTTTTTTTTAAGTTTATTTATTTTTGAGAGAGAGAGGGAGACAGAGAATCCCAAGTAGGCTCCTCACTGTCAGCACAGAGCTGGACACGGGGCTCGAACTCACTAAACCGTGAGATCATGACCTGAGCCGAAATCGAGTCTGACGCTTAACTGACGGAGCCACCCAGGCACCCCTAAATACCATCTTAATAGGGAAAGGGGAGAGAGGATGTAGGCCTCTTAGAGGAGAGTAAATGCTTTTTAGGAAAGATGAACGGGCCCGTAGAAGAATAGACAGAAGGTCCAATAGTTTATGACAAAGTTTGTCTGGGTGTTGTGTCAACGTCTAGTCTCCTCTCCTGTGACACAAGTCTATCTTCCCTGGTTGGTGAAACTCCCTGGGAGGGGAATTTATGACACTTGAGTTCTTTTTGGAGGATCTATCTTTAGGCATATGCAGGGGGTTCAGAGAAGGCCTTTCTCTGCGTTTGCCTCTTTTCAAGTGCCTGAAGCTCGAAATAATCATGGGGCAGCATCTTCTCTCCCCTTCACGTGCTTTCTGAACTGAGCAGTGACTGCCGAGAGCTCTCAGCTTCTTCACGCTTTCGGCTTAGAAGTCTCCTTGTTTGTTTCTCCCTCAAGAAAATATTCATATCAAGTAAAGCTCTCTGAATATCCTTTTGACAGTGATTACCTCTGTGTATATAAAATGCAGCCTGAAATCTCCAACTGCCCTAACGTCATTTTATACTCTCTGAGCTGATTCTGTGTGAGATGCAGAAATAAATGAAGACCGCCCTCCCCACCCACCCCCCAAAATGCGAATGAGCAAAGGCTCTTCATTCAGAGCCTGCCACAGCAAGGGAGGGAGCCACTGTCACGTGTTTAGCAGAGACTCAAGGCAGGCAGGGGAAAGTGGGGTGAAAAAGGGGAAAGTTTGGATGTACCCACTTTGGAGGCTATTGGCTTGGGAAAGCTGGAGGTGGGTTAAGTAAGTAGAAACGGAACATCCTATGTGGTTGGGGAGGGCTTTCTCTGTTGGTCCTAAATTGGAAGAAGGAAGTAAAAATTCAGGATAATCTGGCAGTTATTGACCAAATCTGGAAATCTGGATGTGGGGCTGATTGCTACACTGGCTGTGGTTTGGGTTCTGGGCTGGTTGCTACAGGTGGTGAGCCAGAGTTCTGTTTTTGTCTATGGTCTTGTCCCTTTGTGTATTTAGTCTTTCAGTGAGAACGTATTCTATAGAACATACTCTAGGGAGAAGGGGAGGGCGGGGCCCTTGGATAAAGCTTTGGAAATTGAGCTAACTTCAGAAATTCCTGAAAAGACTCTCCTAACAGCTCCTTTCATGTTATCACCCATTTTGACACCAAACACCGTGACTGGGTATTAGCTGAGGTTTGTTGGCCTCGTTGGACTTCCCTGTCCCAGGGCTGCCTGGTGAGAGAGCTTTAAGTTCTGGCCGTACTCATGATCGTTTTTCTCCTTCAGTCTAGACTGATGGCTGCAATCCTGCCCCATCTCCAAGACCAGGATGTGGAAGCTGTATTCGTGACAACTGGGTGGAAGGTGAGCTGGGCGGCTCCTCCCCTTCCTTAGGATACTCCCTGTGGCCCTGCAATGGCCTTGACTCCTTTGTTCACGTTGAGCCATCTTTATTAATTTGGGGACTTTTCTTTCTTGGAAGGTATGATGTAAAGAGCTTGAACTGTGGGCTCAGGTTCAAGTCCAGGCTTTGTTTTAGTTGTGTTACCTTCAGCAAGTCACATAAGCTCTCTGGGCCTCAGTTTACTTATCTGTAAATGGGACGATGACAGTTCTTATCACAAGGAGTTGTGAGTATTAAGTGAGACACTTATGAAAATAAGTAAGTAATACTTACCATAGTATCTGGTTATATTTTAAGCACTCTGCAAGCTTTAGCTACTGTTACCATAGTCATTGATTGTTTCTGTCAGTGAGGGATACTGTGTACCTACTGTGTACCAGATACTATCCTCTGTGCTGGGAGATAAACTCTACCTGAAGGAGTTTACAGTCTTTATGGAAAAGTAGATATGTAAACAGATTCTTGTAATATGGGGATAAATTCTGATCTGCCCGTGTTAAAGAGAACAAGAGCAGCTTAGTTACTGAATTTGTAACATTACGGAGGATGATTATGAAAAGTTGAGTTTAGGGGCATCTGGGTGGCTCAGTCAGTTAAGTGTCCAACTCTTGATTTGGGCTCAGATCATGATCTCATGGTTCCTGAGATCAAGCCCTGTGTCAGGCTCTGCGCTGACAGCTCAGAGCCTGGAGCCTGTTTCCCATTCTGGGTCTCCCTTTCTCTCTGCCCTTCCCCTGCTCATGCTCTGTCTCTCTGTCAAAAATAAACATTAAAAAAAAATTTTTTTAAGTTGAGTTTAGGGGCACCTGGGTGGCTCAGTCAGTTAAGCATCTGGCTCTTGATTTCAGCTCAGGTCATGATCTTACGGTTTGTGAGATTGAGCCCTGCGTCAATCAGGCTCTGTGCTGTCCGTGCTTGACATTCTCTCTCTCTCTCTCTCTCTCTCTCTCTCTCTCTCTCTCTCTCTGCCCCTCCCCTGCTGTCACTGTCTCTCTCTCAAAACAAACATTAAAAAAAAGTGTTGAGTTTAAAGTTAAGGAGACGAGTTAGGATGCCATTGCAACAATTTTGAAAGGACAGCGGGACAAGGAGGGAACAAGGAGTCTGTAGCGCTCTTCTGGCTTCATGGCCAGTGCGCCCTGACCGCCAGAGAGTCTGCAGCGCTCTTCCGTTCCTCCGCTCTGTTGCACAGCCCGTTCTCCCCTTCACAGGCAAACTCACATATTTGCATTTTAAGACTGAACTAAAAACTCTTCTCCGTGAAACCCTCCCTGACTTCCTACATTAGCATCACTCTGCCCTGCGATCCCAGGTGCGCGGACATAGGGAGCAGTTGCAGAGGCTTGATGAGGCTTAAACCAGATGGTGGCTTATGGAGTGACAGGAAGTGAGTGTGTAGTTTTCTTCTGGAAGCTGGTCCGGTAAGGGAAGGAGAGAGAGCCAAAACCAGAGGAGAAGGAAAGCACGGAACATCTTCTTAAAGACAGGCGAGATTTTGGCATTTTTGGTGGCGAAGGGGAAGGAGTTAGTGGAGAAGTAAGTGTTTAAGAAAAACATTCCTGTGTCTCTCTGCTTTCTCCTTTCATGCTTTCACTTCACTGGTGCTGGTGCTTTCCCGCACATATCGGGCACTTCCTTGACACCAGCCAGGTGCCCTGTAGTTTAGCTCAGTTTTGATGCTCTCTTCAAGGGTTAGCATCAGATGCCACAGGTTAAGGGCTCAGTCCCACAGGACTGCCCCTCCCCCACTTCCAACACCAGCCAATTGCAAGTCCAGGTTGTCACCTGTGCCTTGAGTGACTGACTATATATTTGGAGGTTCCCATGACTTGGCTCCTTGGGTTCGGTTAATTTGCTAGCGTGACTCAAAGAACTCAGGAAAACTGTTTACTTACTAGATTAGTGGTTTATTACAGGCTGTAACTCGCGAACAGCCACACAGAGGTGCACAGGGCAAGGTGTGGGGAAGGGGCACAGAGCTTCTGTGCTGAGTGTGCAGCACTCCCAGCACCAACTCAGGCTCGACAGCCCTGAAGCTCTCTGAACCCCATTCTCCTGGGTTTTTATGGAGACTCATTGTGTGGACTCGATTGATTACGTCATTGGTCTTTGGTGATTGATTGGATTTCCAGCCCCTCTCCCTCCTCTGAATTGGGGTGGAGGGTTCAAACCCTCTGGTCACCTGGTTGCTTCCTCCTGGCAACCAGCCTCCCAGACTTGGGGCCTTTCCAAAGCTCACCTCTTTAAGATTAACTCAGGTGTGGTCAAAGGAATTTGTTGTAAGGTGACATGCCTTTGTGGCTCTGGAGCTATTTCAGAAACCAAGGGCAAAAGACCAACTATTAAGAGATGCTCCTTTGCTCTTATCCCTTAGGAATTCCAGCGGTTTTAGGAGCTCTGTGCCAGAAATGATGAAGATTAAATCTATATTTCTTATTATAAGTCATGGTATGGTAGGGGAGAAGAGGGTAAGGATATAGAAAAGGCAGAGTGCTGTCATTGGATTAAGACCCTGGGGGAGACACGAGGGAATGGAAGCAGAGGTGGAGGGAGAGGGGCAGCGGTTGCTAGAAGAGCCTCTTCTGCTGAGGTGTGGAGGGGGAGGAGTGAGAACACAGGTAATGCCTGGTGGGAGTGTGAGAGGGGTTAGGGAGCCTGTGCCCCTTGGGCTCTTTCCTGGGACATAATGGGCAATGCCTTCCCGAAGGGATTAGTGGGGGTGAGTCACATGTCCTCCTAGCCCCCTCCAAGTACCTCCCACTGGATCGTTACCATGTTGACTTCCATCTTTCCCCACTGGACAGTTCACTCCCTGAGCAGGGACAAAGGCTGCTACAGAGTCAGACAGATTGTGCATGTAGCAACCCCCCATTCACACAGCTGTGATGGGAACTGTGTTCTGCAGGATTGAACAGTGCACAGCCTGAACAGCTATATCCTGGGGCCTCAGTAGGAACCTTTATTGCTGGCCTACAGCTTGAAGGCTAGCAACTTACTGGTGCCCAATAAATGTTTCTTGAAAGAAAGAGAGTGGTAAAGATATAGAAAACCCTGAGAAGGAACATGAGAGAGCAAGAGTTTGGGGCAACATAAAAGGCCTGACTCTCAAACTGAGTGTATAGAGATAACTTGGTGGGAGATGAAGCCATTTTGTTCCTACCTGTTAGCCTTCACGTAGAGCAGAGACTGTCCGCTGAGGAGACTTGCAGGGCAGCTGTGGTAAAAGGAGGGACATTTGGGATGGGTAGTGAATGGGAACTTGACACCATCGTCCTGGAAATCAGGCTTGGTAGGGAGGAAAGAAGGGTCATGCAATTTGGGAGGTTCTGGTGTCTGTTTCCTGAGGGGGTGGGGGTGAGTATTTCCTTTTCCTGATCACCCTTTTCATGCACAGATAGCCTCTGATGCTACTCAGTTTGTCCTAATAGAAGGGAGTGTGGTGGGCAGACACTAGGCCTCTGCTCCAAGAGCTCCCGTGGTGGGAGGCACCTTCTGTTCTCAGCCCACATGAGTTGAACATAGTTGCAAATGGAAACTTCTACAAAACTTCTACCCCGTAGTACATTGTCCCAACGGTCTCTGTTTGCCCCCCTCTGATATATGTTCCACCCTCCCCCGCTTTGGTCTGGGCCCTGGGAGGCTGACCTTCACACACCATCGATGGGTTCTCTTGCCCTCCGGCTTCCAGCTGGCTTTTGGCAATGGGATGGAAGGGGTCAGGGGACCAGAAACCTGGAAGAAAGTGGTGTCGGGTTTTATTCCCACAGCCCCGTGCCTGTTGGGCTGTGGCCACAGAGCTCCAGTCTTCTAACAACTTTCTGGACTCCAGTAACCCCTCTCCTTCCGTCTTCCCCTTCAGACATATGGGTGATTGTTCCCCATGAGAGCCAGCCTGGCATGCTTCTGCGTGCCTTGTTGGCTTCCATGAAGCCTGTCCCTTCCTTTGCAAACTGTCTGCATGCCAACCTATCCTCAGTGACCTCATTTGAATGTGCCATCTCTTTCCCAAGGGAATCTGGGACAGAAATATATTATTTGTTAAAGGTGCTGGTATATGGAGCAGGGTCAGCAAACTGACCTGGACCCGGTAGTCAAGTTTCACTGGAACACAGCTCTGCCCATTCACTTACCTGTTGTCTCTGGCTGCTTTTGTGTGACAGCAGCAGAGCTGAATAATTGTAGCAGAGACCAAATCACCGGAAAGCCTAAAATGTTTACCATCTGGCCTTCTACAGAATAAGTTTGTCAGGGTGTCTGGGTGGCTCAGTCCGGTTAGGCGTCTGACCCTTGATTTTGGCTCAGGTCAGGATCTCATGGTTTGTGAGGTTGAGCCCCGCATGGGGCTCCACACTGACAGCATAGGGCCTGCTTGGGATTCTCTCTCTCTGCCCCTCCCCCACTCACAAATGCACGTTTTCTCTCTCTCTCAAAATAAATAAACTTTAAAAAAGAAAAAGTTTGTCTACGCTATAGTATAGAGGAAAGAATGAGCTTGGCCAAGTCACTTTACCTCCTCAAGCCTCACCTGTAGAATAATGATAGTTCACAAAGTCGTTTTAAGAACTGAGGTTGGGGGCACCTGGGTGGCTCAGTTGGTGAAGTGTCCAACTCTTGATTTCAGCTCGGGGCATGATCTCACGGTTCATGAGTTCAAGCCCCGTGTCGGGCTCTGCTGACAGTGTGGAGCCTGCTTGGGATCCCCTCTGTCTCTCTCTTTCTCTCTCCCTTTCTTGCTCGCTCTCTCTCAAAAATAAATGAACTTAAAAAAAAAAAAAGAATTGAGGCTATAATTAGTCTCTGTTTTCAGGAGTCGCTGTCATTTGAGGATGTGGCTGTGTACTTCACTAGAGAAGAGTGGGACAAACTTGACTGGGCTCAGAAGGACCTCTACAGAGACGTGATGCTGGAGAATTACAGGAACATGATCCTGCTGGGTAATGAATGACTTGGCTTGAAGATTTGGCTCCGAGTGTCTACACAAGTGCTCAGCCCCTTATTTGCAATTCTAAAATCAGAAAAGCTTTGCAAACTAGAAGTTTTTTCATAACTCATCTGGCTATAAGACCCAACCTGAAGTGTTCAGGTGGTAAAACCTGATCTCTTCTACTGGAAGCTGTGTATCATCCTTCTTTTTCCCATGTGGTCATCACATCTATATATTTAGCGTACCAGAAATATCAGCGTGTTTGATTAAGGGTACGGCTCCAACCCCTGTTGGGGGTGGTACATAATAGAAAACATACACACCAAGTCACCTTCCTAAAATCCAGAAAAATTCTGACCTCAAACGCAGCTGGCCTCTACAATGTTTTCAAATAAGGGATTGTGGACAATGAATAGTTGCCTATTGTTTTAGAGGTCAGAGACGCTTAATCCACTCCCCACCCCGATCCGCATCTTCCTTATCTGTAAGACCCATAGGAGCTGAACGGTTTATGGCTGATTTGGATTCCAAAGGTTAGCTTCTTTTTCTCTCGAAAAGTCTTTTTCTTTCTTCCCTCTGGAAATGGGTTCCTTCTTTGTTTGCAGCATCACTGGGTGTCTAGGAAACGATTCCTAACGGACTTCATTTCTGAACCTCCACTGCTTCCCCACTCACGGACCCTGCCTTTGGCTTATTGCAATGCAGAGTCTCCTCCCATGGGCGTTTTCTCAACAAAGCACTTTCTTTCTGGGGTCCAGCTTTGACGCCCACACTGACACTCTTGCTACATACAGTCTTGACCACCTCCTGTGGGATTGTCTGCCCACCTCTGGAGTTTTTGATGTTTATTTTCCTTGTAGAAGCATTTACAAGAGCAGACTTGAATACACACAAGGTACAGGAACGGGAGAACGTTCAGGGGTAACACTGTTCATATTTTGGAGTGTTTCCATCCAGTTTTTCTCTCTCTCTCCTTTTAAAAAATGTAGCTGAACAGAGGTGCCTGAGTGGCTCAGTCGGTTAAGCATCCAACTCTTGGTTTCAGCTCAGGTCATGATCTCACAGTTTGTGAGTTCCAGCCCTGCGTCGTGCTCTGTGCTGACAGCATGGAGCCTGCTTGAGATTCGCTCTCTCTCCCTCTCTCTGCCCCTCCACTACTCGCACTGTGTCTCTGTCACTCTCAAAATAAATAAATAAGCTTTAAAAAAATGTGGCTGAACATATTCTGTGTATAATTTTGTAATTCCTTTAAATCTTAACTAATGTTAAGCTTCAACATTTTCCCTATGTTATTAAAAGCCCCCATAAATACAGTAAATGATCATAATGTAATTCTGTTGTATGATCTGTAATGTTTAATCATTTTCCCATTTGGGGATATTTAGTTTGGCTTCTTGTTGTTGTTGTTGACTTGTTTATGGATTTATCATCTACTATACTTAATGTTCTAATGGATGTTTGTGACCATAAATCCTTATATGAATTTCTGACTGTTCCCAAGATCCAGAATATTGGTGTTAAAGGGTATGGGCTCTTAGTCTCTCTGATTATTGAATGGCCTTTCACTAACAAAGTAGGAAATAAAAATCATCTGCAGGCCTACTGCCCAGAAATTACCCCTGTTAACATGTTGGTTTACTTTTTTCCTAGTCTTTTCATATATATTAATACTTAATGTACATATACCCACACATATAGTTTTTAAAAACAAAATTTGGGTCATACTTCATGAGTTTTGCATTCTCCTTTAAGATATATAGGGAACATTTTCCTATTTTAATATTCTTTGAGCACATGGATTTTTAGGATCTAATACTTTTGCCTTCACTGAATTCACGTTACACTGTAGCTGTTCCCATACTGATGTCTACTTTATTTCCAGTTTTGCATAAGTACAACTGTGCTGAACATCTCTGGCACATTAATCTTGTCCTGATTGTTCCTTAGGCTGTATCTCTACAATGACCAAATCTAAGGGTGTGAATATTGTTGAGAATTTACTGAATCTTTCAGTAAAGATTGTTGGAGTTTCAGAAAGATTGTGCCAAATTCTCTTCTCACCAGCCCTTTTGATTATTGCTCTTATCTGTTTGCCACTGTAGACTCAAGGGGGTTAAGGTGAGCGCTGGGACCTCTCTCTGTAACTCACTAACCACATCCCATTTACTTCCCCATGAGTAGGATTTCAGTTTCCCAAACCTGAGGTGATCTGCCTGCTGGAGCAGTGGGAAGAGCCATGGATCCTGGATCTACCAAGAACTGGGACTAGGAAGGCTTCCAGTAGTGCTTGCCCAGGTGGGTGAGGAGAGGACCCAGTCCAAGTGGAAAAATCAGGACGGGGCAGGAAAGCACCTTAGTGAAGCCCCTCGTGTGCCCCCCAGATCCTGAGCCACATGTTCAACATCCATTATCCCACTTATTCATCCCTGCTGCCCTCTGAAGGTAGTACGTAAGTGTGGCCATTAGACCCATTTTCCAGATGAAGAATCAAAGATTCAGATGTCACACAGATTGACTTATAGTTTTAAAAACTGTATCAATCTGTCACACAGATTGATAGTTGAGGTTCGATTTCAAGCCTGCAAAGCTCATGCTCGTTCTACGGCGGTAGAGTGTTTCTCTGAACTCTTTTTCCAAATCAGGTACTTCTTTCTTCTATGCTCGTTACTTATCCTTCCCCTCTGTTTTCCTCTCATTCCTTTGCCTTCATCCTGTTTGTCATATCCCCACGGTGTTTCTCAACATACCTACTTTTTCCTACTTACTATGTCCTGATTGCTGCTTCTACCTTTTTTTCACATTCCTGTGTTCCAGAGTTTCTCAGCCTCTGCTCTATTGACATTTGGGGCTAGATCTTTTTTTTTTTTTTTGGGACAGAGAGAGACAGAGCATCAACGGGGGAGGGGCAGAGAGAGAGGGAGACACAGAATCGGAAACAGGCTCCAGGCTCCGAGCCATCAGCCCAGAGCCTGATGCGGGGCTCGAACTCACGGACCGTGAGATTGTGACCTGGCTGAAGTCGGACGCTTAACCGACTGCGCCACCCAGGCGCCCCTTTTTTTAGTTTTTAAAAATGTTTATTTGAGAGAGAGAGAGAGAGCATGACTGAGGGAGGGGCAGAGAGGGAGGGAGACACAGAATCCGAAGCAGGTGCCAGGCTCCGAGCTGTCAACACAGAGCCCGATGTGGGGCTTGAACCCACAGACCACGAGATCATGACCTGAACCGAAGTCAGACACTTAACCAGCTGAGCCACCCAGGCGCCCCAGGTTGGATAATTCTTTGTTGTGGAGGAGCTGTCCTGTGCGTTGTCAGGTGTTGAGCCATATTAGCCTCTACCCATTAGGTTTTAGTAGCACCATCCCAGTTGGGACAACCAGAAATGTCTCCAGACATTGTCCAGTGCCCCCCAGGAGGCAAAATCACCTCTGATCAAGAACCTCTACTCTATTCCATTGGCCTTTGTACCTACTTCCCTCTGGTTCCTTTTCTCTTGTGTCTTATGCTCTCCGTTTTTAAAGAGTTGTTTCTCAGAATTATTAAAAAAATACTAACCTAGAAAGTATAAGATGTCACCTGTCCTATGTTTATGTGACTTCACTGAGTACCAAGAGTAAGTTTTATTTTTCCAATAGTAGTGATATATTTACTTAGTTCTCACTTCTCTGACACACACTTGTGCATTTTTCAGTCGTTCAGTTGATTTTGAGAACTCTTTCTGGTGTCAGAGCCGTGAGTCCTGTGGAAATCAGAATTTGGGCCTCTTTAGCAGGACAATATAACTAAGCAAGCACTTCGTTTCACTTGAGTGTCTTCCACACACACACAGGTGGCTTCTTTTTTTTCCTTCTGTGATGTGGTGGGCAGGTCATTTCTATGTTTTCTTTTTATTTGGTTAGGTTCTGAAGCCAGATGGAAGATGAAAAAGCCAACTCCAGGGCAGAAGATCTTTAAAGATTTAGAGTCGTGTAAGACATCGGCAGTAAAGCAGCAAACAGCCAAGGGATCTTCAGAAAAGTTACGTAAATGTAACGAATTGGTGGACATTTACAGACTTGCCTTTCCCACTATTGGTGATGAATGCAGTAAGAACTTCCTTCAAAACCTTCACCTTATTCAAGATCAGAATGCTCAAACAGGGAGGAGGCGTGGCCAGTGTGATGAGTATGGAAAGCCTTTCAGTCAGAGATCACTGTTTTTGCAGCATAAGCAAATCCCTCCAAACGCAAAATCTTACAAATGCAGTGAATGTGGAAGAGTCTTCAGACGTCAGGCAAATTTTGTTCGACATCATAGAATTCACACATCAGAGGACCCCTTTGAATGCGACATATGTGGGCAAGCCTTCAAACAGAAGTCCACTCTTGCTGTCCATAAACAGTGTCACCTGCAGAAAAAGCCATATAAATGTCATGACTGTGGAAAATGTTTCCGTCAGATGGCATATCTTATTGAACATAAGAGGATCCATACCAAAGAAAAACCCTATAAATGTAGTGAGTGTGAAAGAACGTTTAGTCAGAATTCAACCCTTATTCGACATCAGCTAATCCATAGTGGAGAAAAACCCCACAAATGTGTCGAGTGTGGAAAAGCCTTTGGTCGGCATTCGACCCTTATGAGCCATCAACAGATTCACACTAAACAGAACACTCATAAATGCAGTGAATGCGGGGAATGCTTCAGTCGGAATGTAGACCTCATTCAGCATCAAAGAACCCATACCAAGGAGGAATTCTTTGAATGTACAGAATGTGGAAAAACTTTTAGTTTTAAGGCAAATCTTCATCGCCATGAGGTCATTCATACTGGAGAGAGACCTTACAGATGTGAGAAATGTGGAAAATCTTTTATCTGGCGCACAAGCTTTATTAAGCATCAGGGTACTCACAGAGAACAGGTATCTGTGTGATACTAACTGGAAAAAGACCATTTAAAGACCAGAACTGGGACACCTGGCTGGCTGTTGGTGGAGCCTATAACTCTTGATCTCAGGGTTGTGAGTTTGAGCCCCACGTTGGGTGTAGAGATTACTTAAAATCTTAAAAAAAATAAAATAAATGAAGACCAGAACTTACCACTAGTGTAGTTATGTGTAATTACATTGTTTTAAGACAATTACTAACCGGAACTGAAATGGTTTTGCTTTGGGGACCCTCTTTCTACAGCTAACCTCCTTGCTATAGTTAAGAATTACTTGATAGAGGGGCGCCTGGGTGGCTCCGTTGGTTGAGTGACCGACTTCGGCTCAGGTCAGGATCTCACGGTTTGTGAGTTTGAGCTCGGGCTCTGTGCTGACAGCTTGGAGCCTGGAGCTGCTTCAGATTCTGTGTCTCCCTCTCTCTCTGCCCCTCCCCCACTCATGCTCTGTCTTTCTCTGTCTCAGAAATAAATAAGCATTAAAAAAATATTTTTTTAAAAGAATTACTTCATAGAACATGGAATAGGCTGTTATGTACAGTCTCCCTTGAGTCCCTCCCCCGACCATACTTTCATTCCCTCAAGTCAAGGCAGAAGGGAGGCATAAAAACTATGTGGTTCCCTAGGCTGGAGACCATTTGATGATTATGAACGATTTAAGAATGCTCTTCTTATTTCTCAATAAAACTGGAGGAAAAAAAAAAGTTTTTAATTAAAAAAAAATGGGTGTAAAGAAATACCTTTCTTGGTTTCATATGGAAAAATTACCTGATATTACATTGGATTTTTAAAAATAAAGTAAGGGCTACTCACCTAAGAATGACTAAAATGTATCCATAAACTAAAACTAGTGTGCCACTAGATTGTACTGAGAGTTCTAAGTCAAGTGTTAACAGAAGCCGTTGGTGCCCTTGCCCCCTGCTTACTCCATCTGCTGGGCTTCATCTGACTTGCACTGTGTGTCTCTTGGTCTGCAGGCTTTTTTTAAAACCACGAAAAGGCCACTGCTCTGTAGGGTAACTAGCACATTTTGAGAGCAGGCCTCGACTAAAGCTTGATGGGAATTTGACGAATATGATATTCTCTCCTGGGGTGGAATAACTCTGAAGCATGTGTTTTACATGGTTTTCAGTTTTCCCATGGGAAGATTATGCATTCATTTACCTTAGAAGCTCCTTATCAGCTGTCTTCCCCAGCTATAGTCCTTGGGGAGCCATACCCTTTCTCCAGTTATTCCAAGCACATCCTTATGTTCAGGTTATGTAAGTTGAGCTGACCTTACAACTCTTCCCTACAGCTCACCAAGACAAGAACCCCATTTGAAATTCTACTATCCTAAACAGCATCCTAGGTCTGCATTACAACTTGCTGCTATTTAGATCCTCTCCTATAAATCCCGTCTAGTTTCTTCTTGATTTTATTTTCTTGCTCCTACCAATTCTATGACTTCTTACCCAACATATAAAAACAAAGATCACTGAGAAAGGAAGTGGCACCTCAGAAAATTAAGGAATGTTAAGCCTTGCAGGAGGAAAATAATGAAAAGGGATAGAATGTATATTGGGTTCCAAAAGCAGTCATTTTGTAGTCAGCATGAATTGGCTAGAAGAACCTACACAAAATTAAGAAGTTGAGACTTCTGACTGAGGGGGAAATAAGCCAGTGGGAGATAAGACCACTTAAAACAACTTTGGGAGATGGGGACCTATGTAAAAGCGCTTCCCTCCAGTGCTAAGTGGAAGCCATATAAATCAATACACACACATACATACATACATACATACACACAGTGATTAGATACATAGGGGCACCTGGCTGGCTCAGTTGGTGGAGCATGCAACTCCTGATCTCGGGGTTTAAGTTTAAGCCCCACGTTGGATGTAGAGATTACTTAAAATCTTTAAAGCAAACGTCCTGATGGCAGCTCTCAGTTGTATGGATGAGAACTGAACTGGAGGTCAGTAATCTGGTGTGGGGAGACTGTTACAGGCAGGACACTTGGCTATATGAAGACCTAGATGCATGCCGTAAAGGTTATTCTTGGGCTGTGGCCAACGGCTAAGACATATAGTCTGGCAAGTGGACCTTGGACAATTAAAAATAAAGTGGGGAGCCCAATTATGATAAGCCCTTTGCTTTCCAGAATAATCCAGGGTGGTTCTGAAGGTAACATATTCTAGGCGGACCATTTGAAATGAAAGTGTGGATATGTGGGCATCCAAGATAAGTGGCCATGGAGGCTCCCAAGCCATGCTGTCAAATCATCCCACATTCCATTGTAACACCTGCTGGGGCACCAATGGTTGTCAGAGAGTGTTTAGAACCTGCCAGGTTAGCACAGTGGGAAGTGGGCTCATCCCACTGCATGTGCCTGGTAGATTGCCCTGCCCCACGTCCCTTCCTGGAACCGCAGATGCCTCACAACCTCTGGTCCCTCACTCTCTGGTGGGGTTAGTGAGAGGGCCCCAGCCATGTGCTGCTGCGGTTCCCACCCTGAGCCCCAGGAACTTCCCTTTTAACTCTATGCCACTGCCCTAGAGACCTCTGAGTCCCAAGCAGGGCACAGGACCTTCCAGAACAGAACTTGGAAATGTTTCAAAGACATGCTAAAGCAATAGATTTAAACGACCATATCACTCTCTCTTCTAGCTCCAGTCAGGAATTCTAACACTTTGTTAACAAATATCTGGACTTCCCATTTTGTAGGACAGGAGATGCTATGTAGGTGCTATGGGAGAATGTGAAGAATGGAAAGATTGTTGCCCTCTGTTATGGACTGAATTGTGTCCCCCAAATTCATACGTTGAAGTCCTAACCCCTGGTGTGACTGTATTTGGAAACAGGGCCTTTAAAGAGGTAATTGAGGTTAAATGAGGTGCTAAGTGTGGGGCGTTCAGTGATAAGACTGGTGTCCTTTTAAGAGGAAGAGATACTAGAGGCCTCTCCATCCACTGCACAGAGGAAAGGCCATGTGAGGACATAGTGAGAAGGAGGCTGTCTACAGGTCAGGAAGGGGCATCAACAGAAACCAACCCTGAGGGCACCTTAACCTTGGATGTCCTGCCTCTAGAACTGTGTGAAAATAAATGTGTTATTTAAGCCACCTAGTCTGTGGTCTTTTGTTTTGGCACGAGAGCTAATCCACTCACCCTTTATAATCTAGGGTTCAGAGATGGCGTATTCACGTTAACTTACTGGCTATGATAGTTTGCATGGTAAGTGACAAAGCCTACAGATAATGGTAGTTTAGTAAAGGAAATATTTTGGGGTAGGATAATTGAGAAGTGACATTTTATTTTATTTTTTTTAATTTTTTTTTCAACGTTTTTTTATTTATTTTTGGGACAGAGAGAGACAGAGCATGAACGGGGGAGGGGCAGAGAGAGAGGGAGGCACAGAATCGGAAACAGGCTCCAGGCTCCGAGCCATCAGCCCAGAGCCCGACGCGGGGCTCGAACTCACGGACCGCGAGATCGTGACCTGGCTGAAGTCGGACGCCTAACCGACTGTGCCACCCAGGCGCCCCAAGAAGTGACATTTTAAAATTGTTTTACAAGAGTCGACTTTTCCGTTGTTAATCTGGTGGGCTAGGGTCTGGGAAAAGGGATCTGGGATTAAAAGCATCTTGAACAAAGGCATGCATATATGTGGAAATATATGGAAAATTCAAGTAGTATGTAAGCAACAGTCAATGTGTCGAGAGGGTAGAAGAAGGGAAGAATGGAGGGAAAGCTAAAAGTACACAGAGGACAGTCAGCTCTAAGTCTGTGGTATTCCTGGGGTGCCTGGGTGGCTCAGTCAGTTAAGCACTGGACCCTTGAATTTGGCTCAGGTCATGATCCCAAAGTTGTGGGCTCGAGCCCCATGTTGGGCTCCACGCTTAAGATTTTTCTCTCCCTCTCCCTCTGCCCCTTCCCTGCTTACACACCTTCCCTCTCTCTCTCAAAAACAAAAACAAAAAAAAAGTCTGTGGCGTTCCTCCAGTAAAAAGAACACTGGAATCAGGCTATCACTACTACTCTATTGCTTACTAGCTCTGTGACCCTGGGCAAATAACCTTGATAGGCTTGGGGAGAACAACACCAGGGTGATACAGCTCATGGCCTGCCTAAACAGACACCATGTCCACGCCCTCATTCTCAGCCCCAGTGCTAGATACGAAATCTCATTCATAAGTGACATTCTCCACATGACACACCAGACCCTGAACACACCCAGGCCAGCCTTCTCGCCATCCCTCCTGCCTGGCCATGCGCTACTATTCCACCAGGTCCAGGATCAAGCAAGGGAGTTCTGAGAAGAAAATGACTTAGTTTTGGGTTTTGTACATTTAGGAAAAAAAAAAAAAAAAACTAAGATGCAGTAAGGTGACAAGGCTCAAGTAGAAGACTCATAAAGGAATGTAATTTGGTACTTGCTTTGGGGGAATGTGTATTAGCTCACACACTGATCAAGAAATTCTACTTTTGGGAATCTAGGCTTAGATTCTGAAGAACAATCAAGGGGGCGCCTGGGTGGCCCAGTCAGTTAGGTGTCCAACACTTGATTTTGGATCAGGTCCCGATCCCAGATCCTAGCATCATGGTATCAAGCCCCCGTGTAAGGTTCCACGGTCAGCATGGAGCCTGCTTAAGATTCTCTCTCTCTGGGAATGCAAACTGGTGCAGCCACTCTGTATACAGTGTGGAGGTTCCTCAAAAAACTAAAAATAGAACTACCCTACGACCCAGCAATCGCACTACTAGGTATTTATCCAAGGGATACAGGTGTGCTGTTTCGAAGGGACACATGCACCCCGATGTTTATAGCAGCACTATCAACAATAGCCAAAGGACGGGAAGAGCCCAAATGTCCATTGATGGATGAATGGATAAAGATGTGGTCTATATATACAAAGGAGTATTACTCGGCAATCAAAAAAGAATGAAATCTTGCCATTTGCAACTATGTGGATGGAACTGGAGGGTATTGTGCTAAGTGAAATTAGTCACAGAAAGATAAAAATCATATGACTTTACTCATATGAGGACTTTAAGAGACAAAACAGATGAACACAAAGGAAGGGAAGCAAAAATAATAAAAACAGGGAGGGGGACAAAAACATGAGACTTAAATATGGGGAACAAACA